ATAGATGCAAAAGTCTGCAATAGGGCTTCCTTGGTGGCGCAGTGGTTGGGAGTCTGCCTGCCAATGCAGGGGATGCGGGTTCGTGCCCCGGTCCGGGAGGATCCCGCGTGCCGTGGAGCGGCTGGGCCCGTGGGCCATGGCCGCTGGGCCTGCGCGTCCGGAGCCTGTGCTCTGTGGCAGGGGAGGCCACAGCAGTGAGAGGCCTGCGTACCGCAAAAAAAAAAAAAAAAAAAAAAAAAGTCTTCAATAAAATACTAGTAAATCAAATTTGAAAGCAGACTAAAAAGACTATACACCATGACCAAGTAGGATTATCCCAGGGATGGAAGGATGGTTCAGCATTTACAAATCAATGTGATATACCACATCAACAGAGTGAAAGATAAAAACCACATAATCATTTCAAACAGAGGCAGAAAAATAATTTAACAAAATTCAACATCCATTCTATAAAAACTCTCAACAAAATAGGTATAGAAGGAATTTATCTCAACACAACAAAGGCCGGATATGAAAAGCCACAGCCAACATCATAACCAATGCAGAAAAACTGAAAGCTTTTCCTCTAAGATCCAGTACAAGGCAAGAATGCCCACTCTCACTACTTCTTTTTTTTTTTTTTTTGCGGTACATGGGCCTCTCACTGTTGTGGCCTCTCCCACTGTGGAGCACAGGCTCCAGACGCGCAGGCTCAGCGGCCATGGCTCACCGGCCCAGCCGCTCCATGGCATGTGGGATCTTCGCGGACCGGGGCACGAACCTGTGTCCCCTGCATCGGCAGGCGAACTCTCAACCACTGCGCCACCAGAGAAGCCCATCTCACCACTTCTATTCAACACTACTGGAAGTCCTAGCCAAAGTAATTAGACAAGAAATAGAAATAAAAGCAACCAAATCAGAAAGTAAGAAGTTAAATGATCTCTGTTTGCAGATGACATGATCATAGATGTAGAAAACCCTAAAGATTCAACAACAACAAAAACTGTTAAAACTAATAAGAAAGTTCAGTAAAATTGCAGGATACAAAGTCAATGTACAAAAATCTGTAGCATTTCTATACACTAACAATAAACTATCCATAAAGGAAATTAAGACAACAATCCAATCTACAATAGTAACAAAAAGAATAAGATACTTATGAATAAACAACTGAAGAAGTGAAAGACTTGTACACTGAAAACTCTAAAACACTGATGAAGGAAATTAAAGAAGGCACAGATAAATGGAAAGACATCCTACAGCAGAAAAATCTTTAAAGCAGTCAGAGGAAAAAAGACACATAATCTATAAGGAAGCAACAATAAGACTTATGATTCATTCTTCTACAGAAAGTCTATAAGCCAGAAGACATTGGAATGACATCTTAAAGTCCTGAAAGAAAAGGTTTGCAAACCTAGAATTCAACATGTACCACAAATATCCAACAAAAGGCAAAAATAAAACATTTTCAAATGGGTGGGGGGAAAGAGAGAGGAAGAGATAGCTTATTGTCAGAAGATCTACACCACAAATAACATCAAACAGAGTTCTTCTTCTTAAAGGAGAATTATCCCAAATGAAAGCATTAAACTTCAGGAATTAATACATTTTCCTGGAAAGAGTAAATGTTGGGCAAATAAGAAGTATTATTGACAGTTTTTTTTTTTTTGTATTCTGCCTTTTTTTATTTTTTTGCGGTACACGGGCCTCTCACTGACGTGGCCCCTCCTGCCGCAGAGCACAGGCTCCGGACGCGAAGGCCCAGCGGCCACGGCTCACGGGCCCAGCCACTCCGCGGCATATGGGATCCTCCCGGACCAGGGCACAAACCCGTGTCCTCTGTATCGGCAGGCAGACTCCCAACCACTGCGCCACCAGGGAAGCCCCTATTGACAGTTTTAAAACAATAAAAGGATTCATATAAAGCTAAAAACTTGGGAAGAAGTAAAACTAGCAAAATAAAGATGTACACTGTAATTTCTAGGCAAACCATGTAAAGGAATAATAGAATAATATGTATTAAAGGCTGAGAGAAGAACAGGAAAATAAAATAAAATAATCCAAAAAAAGGCAAAAAAAAAAAAAAACAGATGAGAGGTTTTTGTCTCTAAGCAATGGTAGAGTAGCTTAGTCAGACTAACCCTCTCACTGATGCAAAGTGTAAAATCTGGACAAAATATTAAAAATTAAGTATTTGAAGGCACTGAAAAGTAACCAAAGCAGGAGATATAAACAGAAGAGCAGTCTCCTCTTTCTTTTTTTTTCTTTTTCTTTTTTTGCGGTATGCAGGCCTCTCACTGCTGCGGCCTCTCCCGCTGCGGAGCACAGGCTCCGGATGCGCAGGTTCAGCAGCCATGGCTTATGGGCCCAGCCGCTCCGCGGCACGTGGAATCTTTGCGGACCAGGACACGAACCCGTGTCCCCTGCATCGTCAGGTGGACTCTCAACTACTGGACCACCAGGGGAGCCCGAGCAGTCTACTCTTGAAATACAATTGCAACTGGAGAGATTTTTGAGTTTGCAGCATTCTTCCGAGGACCGGTTCGTGCCCCGGTCCGGGAAGATCCCACATGCCGCGGAGCAGCTGGGCCCGTGAGCCATGGCCGCTGAGCCTGCGCGTCCGGAGCCTGTGCTCTGCAACGGGAGAGGCCACAACAGTGAGAGGCCCGCGTGCCGCAAAAAAAAAAAAAAGGGTTAGGAAAACATAATCAGTATAATTATAAAGAACATAAAAAGAATCTATGGACAAATTATTCAAAATAAATTTTAACAAGGTAGCATGAACTCAATATATAAAATTGATTGCATTTCTACACACCAGCAACAAACAATAAGAAAATGTAACTTTTAAAGAAAAACATCAGGAATTCTCTGGCGGTCCAGTGGGTAGGACTCCACACATTCACTGCCGAGGGCGCAGGTTAAATCCCAGGTCAGGGAACAAAGATCCCGCAAGCTGCACAGTGCAGCCAAAAAAGAAAAGAAAAAAAAAGAAAGAAAGACATCAATTACAATTACAACAACAAAAACTTTTTAAAAGCCTAGTAATAGGGCTTCCCTGGTGGCACAGTGATTAAGAATCTGCCTGCCAGTGCAGGGGACACGGGTTTGAGCCCTGGTCCAGGAAGATCCCACATGCCACGTAACAACTAAACCCGTGTGCCACAACTACTGAGCCTGCGCTCTAGAGCCTGCAAGCCACAGCTACTGAGCCTGCATGCCACAACTACTGAAGCCCGCGTGCCTAGAACCCATGCTGTGCAACAAGAGAAGCCACCATAATGAGAAGCCCACGTACTGTGACAAAGAGTAGCCCCCACTTGCTGCAACTAGAGAAAGCCTGCATGCAGCAACGAAGACCCAACACAGCCAAAAATAAAATAAATAAAATAAAATTTTTTTAAAAATCTAGTAATAAATATAACAAAAAAGTACAAAACTTGTACACAGAAACTTATAAAACTTTAAAGACATTAAAGAAGATATAAACAAATGGAGAGATTTCCTATGTTCAACTGTACAAAACAATTGATGTAAATATGTCACAAATCTACCTAGTCAATGTAACTGCAATCAAAATCCTTAAAGGGTTTTTTGTGGCACTTAAGCAGATTCTAAAATTTGTATAATATATTAAATGATTTAAAATCACCAAGACACTGTCAAAGAAAAAGAATAAAAGCAAGGTGGCTTACCCTGCCAAGTACTTAATAGGATATTATAATATTAGGACAGTATAGTGGATGTAGGGACAGACAAATTGACCAAGAGAACATAATAGGGATTCTAGAAATATGGCTATACTTATACTTAGTAATATGCTGGAGGTGGCATGGCAGATCAGTGGGTGAAAGTGGGAACTATTCAGTAATTGGAGCTGGGTAATGTGGCCATCCACATGGAACAAAATGAAATAGTACTCTTACATCACCACTGAGATGGATCAAGGATTTAAATGTTAAATGTAAAGTGCAAAACCCTAAAACTTTTAGAAGAAAATGAAGGGAAATATCTTTCTAACCTTAAGGTAGAGAATGATCTCTTACACAAGGCACAAAGAGCATTAAATCAGAAAATTAAAATATCAAACTACTAATTATCATAATATGCCTTAAGAAAAGAGAAAACAAAAGCCACAAACTTGGAGAAGATCTCTGTAATCTGTAATACTTATGACCAAAAGAGCATTTGGATTCTAGATTCTCCTACACATCAGCAAGAAAAAGACAAAAGCCTAATAGAAAAATGGGCAAAAGACAGAATAGGCCTTTCATAGGTGATAAAATACATATGGCCAGTAAGTATATGAAGATATGCTCAACCAAATTAATAACCAGGGAAATGTAGACGCAGAGAGATACTATCTTACACCTATTTGAGTGGGAAGAAGGAGGGTGAGAAGAAAGATGAAGAGAAGTTTGACAACTGGAGAAGATGTGGCATTTGTAACATATTGTTGTTGGAAGTAAAGTGACTCATTTACTTCGGAAAACAATCTGGCATTATCTTATTGCTTGAATATTCACATACTTCCTGACCTAGCAATTCTACTCCTAGGTGTGGACCCAGAAGAAACTCTTGAAAATATGCACCAGAAGACTGAACAAGAATATTCAAGGTAACGCTGTTTATATGGCAGAAAACGACATGTTGTCCATAAACAGTAGTAACGAAAACAGATAAATCAGAGATTCTGAGTAATGGTGGCCTTTCTTCAGTAACTGAATGTATGAAGCTGGGTCTCAATCTAGATTTCCCAGCAACATGATGTACTTCCTTTTTTGTTTAAACTAAATTGAGTTGGGGTTCTCTTGCTTCCAATTAAAGGAGTTCCTATTACACCAAGAAAAGTCTAATCAAAATCTGAAAAATTAGATTTTGACATATTCAATGATAAAAACACCAAAGCATTCCCCTGAATGCCAGAATATACTTTGATGATAAGTTTCAAGATAGAGCTGATGTGAAGAGAAGATTTGAAAATACTCACACCAAGTCCAAAGAAACCAGAATTAAATTACCTGTAAGGTGATATCTCTGCTCCTGACTTTCCAAATTCTTATATTTATACAGAGACCCATCAAGGGGTATAGGTGATAACATACTTTGTTGAAGGTTCATCTCTTCAAATGACCTGGAAAAATCTTAAAAAACAAAAATCACTTTCTCAATTTGTCACAACTAAATGCTTAGTATATCAACAAAATGCTTAGTATATCAAAAGTTTGCTTAGAAATGACCCCATTTTTCCAATAGAAATATTGTTAGATATTGTGCTTAGATTCCCAAGTCAAACATAAGTTATAAATTTATTCCTTGAGGCTGTTGAAACACACTATATTGAATACTAATAGGAAACTGCATTAATAGTAATTGAATACGTTACCATATAATTGGGTTCATTTTTAAAGCAATTAAAATTAGAAGACATGATGGCTAGTGGAGAGCTGAATTTTGTGCAGATTCTAAGGAAGAAGCTTGCACTTTCAGAGATTTTTAAGTTGCTAGTGCTGGTCTAATTTCATTGGAGGCTTTTCTTTTCCAAAAATCAGATGAAATACCAACACTATCCTTTTCTTATCAGTCCAATTTAGGGTTACACGTTGATTCACAAACGGAAGAGACAGGAGAGGAAGAGGGAAGAGGTTCTAAGGGAAATAAATGCAAAGGTGTAAAGAAAGATGAAGGAGCAAGTAAATAAAAGAGGCAAGTGTTCCTGAGAGAGAGAAGTGGTCAGTTACTGAAACCGAGCTCAGAAGGGAAAGGGAGAAGGAATTCACAGGCTCTCCTTGAAAGTGAGTAGAAGTGACAAGGAAGAAAAGCAGGGTTAATTGGATCTTTATACCAGGCAGTGCTACAGAGAGGAGGTAATGTGCTTTCTAAGTGGGTAGAGATAGTGAACTACGATTGTAACCACCAGAGATTAGTAAATTAGGTGTTGAAATTTGAGGACTATTGATGTTGCTCCAAATCCAAGAGAAAAAAAAAGCTTTGCCATCCCAGCCAAATATACCCTTATTTCTAATCCCCCTTCCTCACTTGGTTCAGGATCCAGCATTAATTGGCACCATTCCTCCACGGTCAGCTGCATCACTTGATTATCTTTCACATGCCAGGAATTTGGCTTTTTGGCAAATACTGCACAACAGAATAGCTCTATTTTGAGCGCACAGACATATCCACAAAGACTTCCTTCATCATATACTTCAAGGAATTTGCATGAATAATTTATCTTCTTCTTCTCTATACAGAAGTGATAGACAGGAAACTTGCTAATGCATTGTTCTATTTCTTTTTCTATCTTGTCAAGGTCACTCTTCTCTGCTTTAAAGCCAGTTACTTCTTGATTTTTTTCACTTAAACCAATAAACAAATATCCCCCATGAGTATTTGAAAATGCAGAAACATATTGAGGGAGAATATCTTTAATGCGTTGTAACAACTTTTCTGTTGAGTAGTCTTTCATTTCAACATGTGTGGATTCAGTAAAGGTGAGTTTTTCTCTGTACCTGAGTTGCATCCTATTAAAAAAGTCAGCAGCCAAGGCCTTCATGCTACTTTCTTCTTGTACATCAAAACGGTACCTCTTTGGAGATGATTTAGGTATTAAAGAAAATCCCTCTCCAGCTTCTAGCCTGTCTTTGAGGAATTCCAGTGCAGCGGTAGCATTCATGACTTTTACAGAGGTTATATCTCTTTTGTACAAATTGGAGCTCAAGGTGGCAATCCTCAACCCAGAGGTTTCTGAGCTCCACGATTTGACAAAAATCAGAAAATATTTACCTTGCTGCATAAAGTCTAAGTATTTAGAAACAAACGAAACAATATTGGAAAAAGAATTTTCCAAATCTAATCCTATTCCATCTTTTTCATAACTATAGTTTTCATTCTCAATTTCAGCCCTGCACACGCCCCCTCCAGAATTCAGCAAAGCAACCACAGATTGTGAGACGTTTTCATTCTGCTTTTTTCTCAATTGACAATCTTTCATTTTTTTTCTATTCTTCTCCCCGAAAGTGACTTTTCCCACATCTAGAACCAGCTCAGCATAGTCAGTGTCCAAAACAACACGGACGGTCATTTCCCTCGAAGCCATTCAACTTCCAAGCAGAAATTCTTTTCTGTAAAACAGACAGAGCCATTTAAAATAGGACCTGAGCAAAAGAGATAGCAAATTGTGTATTGTGAGGCAAACCCAACAAAATTCTTTATTTTGTTTTATCCTATATTCCACTGGATGCCATGATAAGGATACAGATATAAAATAGGTTTTGGGGACATATTCTGAACTGATGATAATGATAATGATGATAAGACGATAGTAATTTCTACTCCTGTAAAATTTTCCAAATTTTTGCCATAGTTTTATATGATCCTCTTCTAATTGTTTTAATCTAATTTTTATCTGTGTTTATATCTCTTTTCTAATCCCTAATATTATATAACTTGCTTCTCTCTTCTTTTCTTAAATAAGCCCCTGAGGGGAGCCTATCTATGTTTCTGATCTCAGTGAACCAAATTTTAGTTTTATATATTACATATACTTTTATTTTTTAAATAATTTCAACTTTATCTTAATTATTTTCTTTTATTGGGGAATCCCTTGGGAGTCTAAAGACATCTAGCAATATGCCATTTTAATAATTTTTCCTTCTTGCAAGGATGAGTTAGATTCATAAATTTTGGCCATTGATCTTAAGCAAGTTGGGCCAAGTCACTATACCCTTTTTCTATCAGATATCCACATATTTTCAATGAGGTAAAATTCTTATATACAAAAACATCTGCTTTAGGTATAAGTATCCCAAATTCATTAACCCTGTCCCTTTAAGGTCTGCTGGGATTACAGCTTTGTTATAGATGGCCTAGAGACAGCTGAGAGAAGAGTTCATCACAGGTAGTGATCACTACACTTGGAAAGGATACAAAGGTCAGAATACTCTTGTCCACTGCTGGATCAGTATCCTGCAGAGACTCAGCTGTAGGCTGTGGATACACCTCAGTCTCTATAAACTTCTGATCATATGTAAACAGCTGTATGGACTGAATGTTTGTGTCCCTTCAAAATTCATATGTTGAAACCCTCCCCTACCACCTGATGGTATGAGGAAGTGGGGCCTTTGGGGGGTAATTAGGGTCAGATGAGGTCATAAGCGCCGAGCACTCATGAGTAGGATTAATGCCCTTGTAAGAACCTCAAGAGAGGTTGCCTCCCTTCTCTGCTCTCTACCATGTGAAGATACAATGAAAAGTCTACAACCAGGAGAGGACCCTCCTTAGAACCTGACCACACTGGCACCTTGATCTTGGACTGCCCAGCCTCCAGAACTGTGAGAAATAAGTTTCTGTTATAAGCCAGCCAGTCTATGATATTTTTACAATAGCAGCCAGAGCTGACTAAGACAACAACAGTAAATTTGGGGCTCCAGATGATTTGGACAGTTGGGGTTAAACCAAGAGAATTCCTTTGTTGATCATGGACCATTCCATATAGAGGAAAAAAAGCAACAATATATTCCACAGAACACTTAGCAAATTACAGGGCCTAGACTAAGTGTTCAGTAAATGTCACCACTCCAAATGCCCCAGAGTAGTCACCACCCCCCGTGAAACTTGGGGCCTCTGTGCCTTTGCCCTCTCCCACTTTTGTCTCCTGAAAACTCTCATCCTTCCTAGAAGTCCCATGTCTATCCTCTTCTCAGAGCTCCCACAGAACTTTTTATTCATGCTGGGCCCTAATCTTACCATAGATCTAGAGAAATCTTTAGAAACAGAGTACTGAAGTGTTTAGAGTGGTTGTTTTCAAACTACGTGAAATCTGGTGGGGGCTCCTAATCATTTAGGACACCAGGAGGAAAGGCCTGGGGCCTCGTTCCTGCCATGGACTCTGAACCTCGGTGGGTGCAGAGCACTCTTCCTGCTCTGGAATGTCTTCCATGAAATTTTCTGAGCCCTTCCAGTGCCTGGGCCCACTAGAGAAAGCCCACGCACCAGCCAGGGCCAGCAGTGTCATCCTGGAAAGGTGCCCAAGCCTGGACAACACTCTATGGGTCCAGGTCCCCATTTCTTCTCTTTTCAGTGCTCAATGGCCCTTTACCCAAGGAGCCCCGGGACTCATACCAACGTGTTGTCCTGGGACCTCATGGCTGAATCCTGGTTCTGGAGAATAGCCTCGTGCTATAAATTGAATGTTTATGTGTCCCCAAAATTAACATGTTGAAACCTAATCCCCAGTGTGATGGTGTTTGGAGATAGGGCCTTTGGGATGTGATTAGGTCACAACGGTGGAACCCTCACAAATAGGATAAGTATCCTTATAAAAGATTCCCCAGAGAGCTGCCTGACCCCAGGACAGGGGTCAGAGGACATGTGAGGACAGAGAAAAGACAGTCATCTATGAAACAAGAAGTGGTCCTCACCAGACACCAAATCTGCTGCACCTTAATCTGGACTTCCCAGCTTCCATAACTGTAAGAAATAAACTTCTGTTGTTTATAAACCACCCAGTCTATGATATTTTGTTATAGCAGCATGAACAAACTAAGACACCTGGTAAGTGGATCACCTCACTGGCTGAAATTATTTCTTTCGCAGGATTGAGACTGGATTGCCAGAATGGTGCTAATGTTCTGATTTTAGTTAACTTAAATTATTTTTATTGACAGAAGCCCCACAAAAAATTATTTGCCCAGGTAGAATTCACCAGTGAAGCTATCTGGTCCAGGGATTTTCTTTTTTGATTACTGGGTTTTTGATTACTGATTCAATTCTCTTACTAGTTATAGGTTGATTCAGATTTTCCATTTCTTCCTAATTCACTCTTGGTAGGTATGTTTCTAGGAATTTGTCCATTTCCTCTAGGTTATCCAATTTGCTAGTGTACAATTGTTCATAGTATTCTCTTATAATCCCTTTTATTTCTGTAAAATTGGTATTAATGTCCATTCTTTCATTTTTTATTTTAGTTGAGGGGTTTTTTTTCTTCATCAATATAAAGGTTTGTCAATTTTGTTGATTAAAAAAACTCAGTTTGGGCTTCCCTGGTGGCGCATTGGTTAAGAATCCATCTGCCAATTCAGGGGACACAAGTTTGAGCCCTGGTCTGGGAAGATCCCACATGCCACGGAGCAACTAAGCCCGTGTGCCACAACAACTGAGCCTGCGCTCTAGAGCCCGCGAGCCACAACGACTGAGCCCGCAAGTCACAACTACTGAAGTCCGCATGACTAGAGGCCGTGTTCCACACAATGAGATGCCTGCACACCGCAACGAAGAGTAGCCCCTGCTCGCCACAACTAAAGAAAGCCCACGCACAGCAACAAAGACCCAACACAGCCACAAATAAATAAAATAAAATAAAAAATTTTAAAAGCTTTAAAGAAAAAACCTCAGTTTCATTGTTTTTTTCTATTGTTTTTCTATTCTGTATTTCATTTCTTCTGCTCTAATCTTTATTATCTCCTTCCTTTTGCTAACACTGAGTTTTGTTTGTTCTTCTTTTTCTAGTTTAAGGTATAAAATTAGGCTGTTGATTTGAGATCTTTTTTCTTTTTTTTCTTTTTGTTGCAGTATGCGGGTCTCTCATTGTTGTGGCCTCTACCGTTGCGGAGCACAGGCGCAGGCTCAGCGGCCATGGCTCACGAACCTAGCCGCTCCGCGGCATGTGGGATCTTCCCGGACCAGGGCACGAACCCGTGTTCCCTGCATCGGCAGGTGGACTCTCAACCACTGCGCCACCAGGGAAGCCCAAACCGAAATCTTTTATACTTTTGACTGTGGGGAAAATTCTTTCTGACCTGGATTGGGGATTTAGTCTGTGCTGTTAGCTCTTTTTAATGGGAAAGGGGAAGGCATTCACATCTCCTTAGTTATGCCAGACTGCAGGTTCGTGGGAACTGCACAGAAAGGTAGGACAGGAGTGACAGGAACTACCTTCTGAGGAATAAAAACCATAGTTCATTCTTTGCCCTCCTCCTTTAACACTGTGTATTTAGTTTAGAAAGGCGTGGTTCTTATCTCCCCCCCACCCCCGCCCCCTTTAGGTTATAAACTTCGGCAGGACACTAACAGTGCCTGGTTTCTCCTTCTGGATTTAGAAGACAGTTCATCAGTGTCTGGTCAGCCACATTTTTACCAGCAGAACCTGTTCCCTAACTTCCCTTATTTAAGGACCCCAGGCGTGCAGGGCACCCCCAAGGAGCTGCACTTGCCTGACCTGTCCCTCCAGCACCCTGCCTTTCCTCCCTTCCTAGTCCATGCCAAACCGCAACTTCCTCTCCCCAGGCTCTTTAAGACGCTTCCCAGCTCACGCATGGGATGACGTACTGCCCTGACCTCAAGTTCCCAAGTGTCCTGATCGCAAGTCCTTAACAGTCTGTGTAGTTTTTTGGTAGATGCTGCTACTGAGACAGGCATCACAGAGCCAAGACTTCCAGATCGAAGATAACAGCCGAGGGTCTCCCCGGGAGCGGGGTGGACGGGGCTGTGTTGGCTGCACCCCACCTCGTCAAAGAGCCAGCAGACTAGATTTAAAAGGGATAAGAAGCTGAGGTTCCGATATTTGGCAACGGAGAGGGGACAAACTTACCCAGGAGCGCTGCTCGGGATTCGCAGGATTCTTAGGGGAGCTAGAATACCCAGTTTGCGAGGAGAGCTGGTGCACTCGAGTTAAGGCGGAGCATTCAGCCAATGGTGACGCCGCTCAGCCCCCGAAACTTTCCGGGAGAAGCGACTGGACTTTAAGCACTGTCTCAGAGTGGTGGCGGGAGATTTCTCCTTTCGTATTTGGTTATCTGTATTTTCTATATACTGCACGGTAAGACCAAAAGAACGAAGCGCATTTAAAGAAAACAAAGAAAGAAAGAAGTGGGCGAAGCCCGTCTTCCGGTCCCCGTCCGCGCGCTCTACACCTAAGCGGACCCAGGTCCGGGTCCTTTGGCGCACTGGCTTCCCGTGAGGCGGACGGCCCTTACCGCCCTTTAGAGCGGCAGCCAATCAACTTTTCAGGAAGTACCCCCGCGCGCTGTGAGCTCCCCTGAGCTTTCACGCCACTGGCGTTTTTTTTGCCCCCTCAAAACTGAAGAAGGATCAGGGCTTCTGGCGGGGTGATCCTACTCGGGACTTTCCAGCTCTACTCTCATTCCTTGAGCCGTACTACTGTCCCGTGGACTAAAAGCGCAGTAGCCTCTAGGGACCGGGCGAGAGCTGTTAGTGCACCGAAAGGACGAAAGGGGAGAAGAGCGGTCTGCTCCGCGGGAGGCAGATTCGGACACACAACCCCTCGTGGTATAAGGAGCACCTTGGGGCCATCAGGGATAATGAGTCCAGAGCTGGCTCCAATGGCTTCTCTCAGGACATAAAGCTTTCCTGACACTTTCCTTTTCTTGGGGCCCCTTTTTTATGGTAATTATGGTAATGGATATTTCTGCAGCTCATCAGGTCTAAAACCTGTCTTCAGAACCCACAGACATTGAAACGCACAGAAACCTTGTTTTAAAACAGAGAGAAAGAGAAGGCGGGAGGGGGAGAGAAGGAGGGAGGGATGCCTAAGGAACCCTGAGCTGCTGAAGTCTTCTACCGTCAACCGCAGACCTGTGAGTGACAGAACCTTCAGAGGATTCCAACCGCAACCTTCAAGCCAGTTGAAAATGAATGGAACAGAGACAAGACTTCCCCCTGTCCCCTGTCCGTATTCTGGGCTCACAGGATCCGTGAGTATGGTTATATATTTTTTTAATCTTTTTTTTTTTTTTTAACTTTTGGCCGCTCAGCGCGCCCTGTGGTATCTTAGTTCCCCGACTGGGGATCCAGTTGGCTCCCTCTGCAGTGGAGATGCGGAGTCTTAACCACTGGACCGCCGGGGAAGTCCCCAAGTATGGTTATTTTATGCGACTGAGCTTTGGAATAACTTGTTATGCATCTATAGTAACTGGAACAATATTATGTGTATTCTTCTTGGGGCTCTTTTTCTCATTTTCTAAGGACTTTGCAACGTTTGATATTTTCAGACGCTTATTTTTTTATTTTTCCGATCATTATAGTTCTTACTTTTTTTTTTTTTTTTTTTGCTTGTATGTGCTGCAAATATCTGTAGATCAGTTTGGAGACAATGACATCTTTATGAGATTACAATTTCTGATACATGGACATAATATATCCTATACTTAATTACATTTTCTTCAATGTCTCACAATAAAGTTATATACAATTTTCCATAAGGATCTTGCACATCTTTTGTGTCAATTGTATCTCAGTAAAGCTAGAAGAAAAAATAAATTCCTGATTTAAACGGCCTTGGTCATGATGTATTATCATTTTTAGATTTTGTTGGATTTGGTTTGCTAAAATTTTATTTAGAATTTTTTTCATCTAGACATTGAATGGTGATGATTTGCAACTTTCCTCTCATATTTTACTTATCCAATTGGTTATTGAGATTATGCTAGCCAATGTTCATAGCAGCACTATTTACAATAGCCAAGATATGGACACAACCTAAGTGTCCATCAACAGATGAACACAAATGAATGGATAAAGAAGATGTGGTGCATATATATAATGGAATACTACTCAGCCATTTAAAAAAGGGATGAAATAATGCCATTTGCAGCAACATGGATGGACCTAGAGATTATCATATCATGTGAAGTAAGTCAGACAAAGACAAAAATCATATGATATCACTTATATGTGGAATCTAAAAAAAGTTATACAGGGCTTCCCTGGTGGCGCAGTGGTTGAGAGTCTGCCTGCCGATGCGGGGGACACGGGTTCGTGCCCCGGTCCGGGAAGATCCCACATGCCGCGGAGCGGCTGCGCCCGTGAGCCATGGCCGCTGGGCCTGCGCGTCCGGAGCCTGTGCTCCGCAACGGGAGAGGCCACAACAGTGAGAGGCCCGCGTACCGCAAAAAAAAAAAAGTTATACAAATGAACTTATTTACAAAACAGAAACAGGCTCACAGACATAGAAAACAATGTTATGGTTACCAAAGGGGAAAGGGCTGGGAAAGGGATAAATTAAGAGTTCGGGATTAATTATACATTACTATATATAAAATAGATAAACAACAAGGACCTACTGTATAAGCACAGGGAACTATATTCAATACCTATAATAGAAAAGAATCTGAAAAAGAATATATATATGTATATGTATGTGTATATATATATATATATAAAACTGAATCAATTTGTTGTACTCCAGAAACTAACACAACATTGTAAAACAACTATATTTCAATTAAAAAAAAAAGTAAATCCAGGAAATTGCTAGAAGAAATATGCAAAATAAAGGGATTAAAAAAGAGTATGCTAACGTCATAAAATTAGTTAGGCAGTGTTTCCTCTTTTTCTGTTCTTGTGGGGAGTTTGTGTAATATCGAAACTCTCTCTTCCTTAAACTTGTTTCTTAGAATCTGCTGTGATAGAGTTACCATGTTTTTCTGGATCTTTCCAATGTATACATGTCATTAAACTTTTGTTTGATGTTCTCTTGTGTATAAATAAAGAAAAACGTGATAATTGAGGGAAAGTATTTTATTGATAATTCATTATGTATAATGTTTATAGAATTTCTACTTTTATTGATGAGTTACTTTTAAATGTTTTTTTTAAATTCCCAAACATATGAAGGTTTTTATAGTTACTATTTAACTACTAATTTCTAATTTATTTGCATTGTGGAGCCAAAGAGTGTAGTTGTATAATATCACTCCGTTGAACTCTCTTGAATAATTACTTTTTAATAGGAAAAATCCTAAATATTATGTTTTAAGAAGTAAAAACATCCCCACAAGATATTTATTAATTATAAATGGGAAAAATTGTAAATTTACAGTGGAGAAACTGGCAGACATCACCTTATCCAAGTGATCAAAGTTAGCATCATCCGTAATGGGATAAATCAATATCATGGGTCTTCTGATATAATGCACTGAGAAGGACAAAAAGCACTTCTATAGGGGCTTCCCTGGTGGCGCAGTGGTTGAGAGTCCGCCTGCCGATGCAGGGGACACGGGTTCATGCCCTGGTCCGGGAAAATCCTACATGCCGCGTAACGGTGGGCCCGTGAGCCATGGCCGCTGAGCCTGCGCGTCCAGAGCCTGTGCTCCGCAACGGGAGAGGCCACGGCAGTGAGAGGCCCGCGTACCGCAAAAAAAAAAAAAAAAGCACTTCTATAACCTTTTCATAACCTGAATTGAGAGACATCCTCCACAATAACAGGCCTAAACTCTTCAATAGTGGCAAGGTCATCAAAGGCAAAGACTGGGGAACTGTTCCAGACTAAAGGAGGTTAAGAAACATGAAAACTAGGGACTTCCCTGGTGGTCCATAGGTAAAGAATCCGCTTTCCAATGCAGAGAACTAGGGTTTGATCCCTGGTCGGGGAACTAAGATCCCACATGCTGCGGGGCAACTAAGCCCATGCGCCACAACGAAGAGCATGAGCACTGCAATGAAGATTCCACGTGTCACAACTAAGACCTGACACAGCCAAAAATAAATAAATAAATAAATAAATAAATTGAAAGAATGGTTATTTGAAAAAGACATGAAAACTAAATGTAATGTGTGATCCTAGATTGAATCCTAGACCAGAATTTTTTTCTTTTGCCGTAAAGACATTTATGGCACAATTGATAAAAGTCAGATAAGGTCTATAGATTAGATCGGAGTACTATATCAGTGTTAATTTCCTGATTTTGATTATTGTGCTGTGAATGTCCTTATTTTTATGAAACACCCCTGAAGTACTGGCAGTAAAGGAGTATCATGTCTGCAACTTACTCTCAAATGTTTCAGTGGAAAAAATGGCAGTAGAAGGAGGCACGGAGACAAGGAGGAAAAAAGCCATCAGGATAATCTGTGGCCAAAGGACTCTGGACACAGTGATATCTAACATCTAATTTTAAATATTTGCCTTTCACCGTAAGCAAACCTTTACTATGTTTTGCTAAAATTAGGGCCTGATGTTTCCTGTAACTTGGGAGATGAAGGGAGAGACCTTTTTCTTCTTGGGATACAGAGGAGCATGGAGGGGGCAGAGCTTGGAAGAGCTGTCATGTCAATCAAGGAGGTAACCGGCCGGGGTCTTGGAACAGCAGTCCAGAGCAAAAAGTGAGAGGAGAGGACCGGAAGAGATCTGTGGTGCATGGAAGCATTTCTGGCACTCTCAGAAATCTTAATGCACGGAAACTAGATAAGAGACCAAACTTTCTGTATTTACACATAATGAGAGCTGACAATATCAGGTGGGCATCAAAAATCTCAGTGACACGGATAGCTGGAAACCTAGGGACATTCAGATTGCAAATGGATAGTTTTCTCTGCTAAAAAGTAAAAGAAATTGAACAAAACACTTTGACCCTCCCTCCCTTCCCCTTGTATTGAATATAGAGGAAAGAAAAAGAGTAAAAACAGGTACTGTAGAATTTTTGGTTATATAGATTCTCCAGAGTATAAAGACAACTGCATCCTGGTCTTTAAAACTACATGAGGGCTTCCCTGGTGGTGCAGTGGTTGAGAGTCCGCCTGCCGATGCAGGGGACACGGGTTCATGCCCTGGTCCGGGAAGATCCCACATGCCGCGGAGCGGCTGGGCCCGTGAGCCATGGCCGCTGAGCCTGCGCGTCCGGAGCCTGTGCTCTGCAACGGGAGAGGCCACAACAGTGAGAGGCCCGCGTACTGCAAAAAAAAACCAAACAAAAAAACTACGTGAAATACATTGTACATGTGATTGATGCCATGAACATCAGAATAGATCAGAAGTACACTTGGAGATCATTGCAACTTTATACATAAGAGAATAAAAGGAGGTTGTAGGAAGGTGGGGTGTGGTAGACATGGGGAATGCACCACCCAGATCTCCCTTCAAGGGAGGTTTCCTGCCCAGATTTGGAGAGGGCAGTCGGCAGACCAGCCTCTAAATGTCAGCTCCTTCAAGGCCCGCCTCAGCTGCAATGAGCTGCATTGCTTGGGGTCACAAACCACTCCCAGACTCACAATCTACAACTGACAACTGGAAAATGAGTTATGGACAATATAAAGTCTCAAACATTCAGCTCAATGCTGGACAACTCTGTTGGGCAAAATTCACTGTACAGCATCCTGCCTGGTTGGCTAAGGTTTGTTGAGGGCTGCATCCCAGTTCAACTGCTTTTCTCTACCCAATTCTGCTTCCTCCCATTCTATTCAGGGTGCTGCTCTGTCATAAACATCTTTCACCTTAAACTGCAGCTCAGCATCTGCTTCTGGAGAACTCAACCTGCAACATGATGTGAGAGGATATAGCAGACTCTGTAGACCTAAGAAAGATACGTAGTGTGGCAGACGTAAATTGATATATGAACAAAGGTATTTCACTACC